TATGAATTTTTTGTTTTCTTCTCATACTATACTTTTAGATTGTATGTTTGAATTTTCATAAGATACATGTCTTAAATTTTAATAAAACAATTGCCTTTGCTGCAGGCTTTGATGATATTTTTTACAACTGCCAACTTATGAATTGAATTGAATTATTTTTTAATTTGAACGACATAATTATTATTATTTTAGATTCGAGAGTACATCATTATAAATGATATATTATTATAGGTACCTACCAACATTATATTGTATAAGAGTGTTTTATTTGATTACAAATTTAAATACTTACACATTTTTCATAGATGTAATGAAATAACACATTAACCAAGTTGAGATCAAATTCAGTCTACCAGAAAAAAGCTTACTTTCACCAATTTACTTTATCTAATGATCTTCATCGTTGACAAGATTTAAGTGAACGTAGTGAACATGTGTGAAATCCCATTTTAGAAATTCTCATTTACCGTATATTATGAATCGAAGCCAAGACGGCGATAACAGAAAAATGTGTATAAATTTAGTTCGACAATGTTTTAATTTGTTGGATACAGTTAAATATTGGTACCAAATGTTTCTCTTAGTGATAGTAATACCCAATACCGGTAGTTGGGAGTGGACAAAATTGGGGAAGAAGCTATGAGGGTTGAAGCCAACCTCCACCTTAATTACTTTTTATATAATCTATTTTGTTTATTCGTTTATATTAGTTAGTCAATTTACAAAAAGGTGAACTACTTAATTCAGTGGTCAATTACTGCTTTAAGCTGTGAGTATTTCATTTATTTTTATCGGTGTGGCCAGATATAGCTATGTAACTTTTGTGGCTTGTGAAGATACTCGGTCCCATATTCATCAATACAGGCCCATTTTTATATTTTATTTCTCCAAATTAGTCGTTTAGCAAGTTTTTGGATCAGTTTTTTTGTGAGAATTTCATAGTAAAATCATATTCTAAGACTCTTTTGAGAAAATACATTGTATACGCATTATATAGTCACTATTTTGACACAATTTGTACTTCAAATGCTTTTGAGACAAATCGTAACCATGTATCCTTAATACTTTTCAAATGTCAAATTACTGTAATAAAAACTTATAAGGAACCTTGTATTAAAATTTCAAGCTTTTTGACGGAGTGGTCAAGTTTGTAATCAATATATTTTATAGAAAAAAAACTAAAATTTATCACACCATGTATAGAAAATTATAATATAAATATTTGATATTTATAAGTGATGTTATTCAGTATTTTCCAATTACAACAAAATTTTTTGATGATAAATTGGTATTTTATGCATGAATATTAGATTTCGTCAAATTTCAAGTTTCAGTCTGGGGTTTTTTTTTTGAATCTTCCATTAGGTTAAGAAAACGTAAACCAAATATTGAAATTAAGAAATTAAACTATTTTATTATTTCGTAGTAGGTTTTTAAATTTTAAATTATATTTAATATTTTGATATTTGATTGATGACTTCAATAATTATAAATAATGATGATAATATTATTTGAAACATACATTTTGAAGTTGTTTACTAACTAAATATAATAATACATTTTTATTGTAGGCAATTGATATTTACCCAATACTGGTTTCCTAAATCTGACATTTTAGTCCTACAAAAGAAGTGGCCTAATTTTAATTCTGATCCTATGAAATGTAATACATTGTTTGACGGAAACTTAAATCCGTGGCATATTTTATAAGTTACCATAATAAACATACTTTAAAATTTAAGCCAATAGTCTACAGCCTTGATAAATACCTACATATTATCTTATAAGTAGGTACATATGTCATATTTAATCATAGCTCAAATATTAAAATAAATTGTTTTGGTAATAATCTTACATGTGGACATCACGGACATTGATAATTTGCTAGTAAGTTATAAAAATCTATAAAAATAAATATTAACAAATATTAGTTCTCAAGTGTTGCAAAAATTATTTGTTTCCAAACTATATAAATAAATACACTTAGGTAGGCATCAGCTTACTAGCTGTTACTATTATTATTTTAAAATGTACTCACATTTATATTATAAATTGGCTATGGGGGTGACTGCTCTATTTAGAACCCTTCCTGCAGTGTGTATCTATATTTAGGGTTAGGGTATATTTAGTGTATCTATATTTTATGAACAATAGTAAGTTCCTATGCGAGAGTAACAGGTAAACAATTACTTAAGTCAATTCGAACAAATAAAGATAGTAAGTTCATACACCATAACTACGTTAATTTATTGAAAAACTAATTTTATTTTGCGTCTGCCCAACTGATTTTGTTTTTTTTTTAAAAAAAACGAATAACCATAAATACTTACAATTTTACCTAATGTTTATACAACAATATTTTTCCTTTCAAATGATATCAATTAAAAAATCTTTTTAATCTTTTTTGAGCTATTTATAGACATTATATGTTTTTTGGTTTTGCTTATTTTTATCCTATACATGTAAATAAATAATTTTTTGCTCTACCAAAAAGCTTAAAAATTAAATGCAATTTTAGTCATTGGCTACTAGAATTTAAAAAAAAGTTGAGCGTAACTCCAAAAATATCTTATAAGTATCTGATATGTTTAGACGAAATTATCCAATCAGAATTTTCTATACTATTTATAGAGAATGAAATGTTTAAATTTGTTTTCTATAAATGTAGATAATTTTGAATCTGTAAAAAAGCCTGATAATATAAGTATATAACACAAGGTTCTTCATAATTCATAAATTCATATTTTAGCATTTTAAGAATATTAAGGATACATGGGCAAAAAGTTATTTTATGGACATTTTAAGTTCGAATTGGGACGAAATTAGATATTCAAACAAAGAATAACGATTTTAGTAATTTTGTTGTAATTCGCAAAAATGATTAGATTAAACTTTTAAGTAGGTATACTTAGTAGGTATTATATTTTATATACCTATACAATAGCATTTTCAAAACATTAAGATACATCTTATGCTAAGTTCCATTTATACCACGAATTAATTCACACTATTATAGGTACGGTAAGTAGGTATTGATTCAAAAGTCAATAAATATTTACAATAATATATAATCTAAATATTTATCACCTATATTACAATAATTAAGAAGATATATATATAAAAATATAATAAATTCAATGAAATGCAAAACTAATACAACGACCATTTTTAAGGACTATTACATTTTAATAACTGCAGAGGAACTATTTATTCAAATTTTGAGTTATGTAACCAAATCAAAATTAAAAAAAAAATATCCACTAAATATTTCACAGTAAAAAATGGACGTTTTCATTTGAAAAAAACAAGTTAGTATCGCCCCTGCAGGTTACTCTTCAAGCAGTAATGGTCTCTAAGTATGTATATGTATATTTAAAAATTCCGAAAATCAGAATTAGAATGGTAAAAAATGGAAATACATTTGTCTTATTAAGAGGACGTGAATACGTGATACCCGCATGTGTTTTCTCTGTCTTACAAGTGCGTAACATAGCAAATTGTACACTCAGCAAAACACGTGTAGCTCCTTTAATTTAAAAATTAAAGTGAATTATTGACCCCTTATAAAATCTAAAGGTAAGATTATTATCTAGGCAACCTCATAGGCTTTTTATTATATTTTTATTTTAACGCGAGTTATAAGTATTTTAAGATGTATAAAAAATTTACAATTTTAAAATACTCATAACTCGCGTTAAAATTAAAATATAATAAAAAACCTATGAGGTTGACTAGATGATAATCTTACCTTAAGATTTTATAAGAGGTTAATTCGCACTAATTTTTAAACTAACGGAGCTACACGTGTTCTGCTGAGCATAAAATTTGCTATGTTACGCACTTGTAAGACGGAGACAACACATGCGGGTATCACGTCCTTAAAAAAAAAAATTAAACAAAAATTAGGGTGAACATACTTGTTATGAATCACTCTGTATATAGCCATATATTATAATAGGAATTTATTGTTTTATGATCAGGGCGTGGAAGTTGTATTATTTGCATAATGTACCTACCTAATATCTAAATATTACAAAATACTACCTAATATTTTAATAAATATTGGAACATATTTTCAAGTGAGGCACATATTCAATTATTTGTTTCACTTTTTCTCATACTTCATGATGTATATAGAGTCAATTCGATATAATTTTTATAATAGGTGTTTGTCCTTTAAATTTCACATAAGGAGAACCCCATTCGAGATAAAATGGAGTCAAAATAGTTTGAGTGTCTTACGAATGTCTACCTTTTTAAATCACAATAAAATAACAAAATTCGACACATAAAAATCCAATATTATCAAGTGTGTAGTACCTACGGTTATTAGTTTTTGAGTTACACCAAAACAATAACATCGATCTAATCACAAAATTAGTTTTGAAAAAGAATTTCGATTTTTTCTAACGCTGTCTAAAACGACTAGAAATTTTCAATTTTTACCTCTCAAATTTACCAACTAGATTCACTTAACTATCAGAAAAGATGCTGTTGTCGAATATTGGAGTACTTTTAATACCTAAAATATTAGATGATATACAGAAAAAACACACATTGTAAATACAATACAAATGCATTTATTCGTTACGCACAGAACCTAAAATTAAACATTTATAATTTAATATGTTATTAAAAATTTTTTTTATCATATGTTAAATGTAAAATATTATGATTTACGGTTATTTTAAATATTATTTTTGTAAATTGAGTTGATATCCATAATAAACATTATTATAATTTTATTTGTTTTACAGTGCCGTATCACGTAAGGATTTTTTTACATTTACTGTTTTGTTAATTTAGAATTTTAAGTGGTATTTTTAGGTATATTGTCATAATATTTTATGCCGACAATACATTAAACCCTTTTAATATATAATATATAAATATTATAATGTATTGATATCTAATAAAATATGTGCTTTTGACTCTTTTTGAACGGGCATTTTTTTTTTCGAAATATTGTTTCTAAATTCCTTTCATTTTTTATGTTACAGCTGGATCTCGATGTGTTCGGTTTTCGATTTTTTGATGGTTTTGTGCATTTGCATTGTACAACTATCGGCAAAAGGTACAGTCACGAACACGCCTTGTACAATTATTGATAATTGCTGTGTCCGCAACATGACTAACTATTGGAAACACAAAACTGAGCTGCACTGTTCAGAGATCCAAATCATACCAGTTGTTGACGAGATAATACACGTGCTGTGAGTAAAATTTACACCCATTGCATAGAGTTTTATTTTTATTCTCTTATAAAATAACTCATTTGTCGCATGTTTTTACAAAACGAGAATAACAATTTTCGATATTTTTAAAATGAATTTTAATGAAGGATTCAAGTTGCTACAACTATGATTTTTTCAACTTCGATGTCTTATATATATATAAATACATACAATATAGTAATAATATAATATATATACCTTGTATAATCACCCTATACCTATACCGTAAGTAAATAACACCGATAGTTTTTTGCATTTTTTCAATTGCCGACTGTTAGAACATGATATTATGTTCTCGTGGCGTAATTTGGCAAAAAACTGGGAGGAGGCATTATAATTTATTCACTAAAATCAAGGTCATAATCTAATTAATTGTTTTTTCACCAGTCTTAAACTAATTGTATGGCTTGAAAATAAATTTTAGGCACCCATATTGTTAAAGTTAAATTATATTAAGTACACAAGAGTTATAAAAAAGATGATACAACTTAATCGAAAAAAATAATGTGATGATAATCCTGTAATTATAATTTATGAAATATTTGGATGGAAGACATGAGCGCCAAAACAAAATGCGAAAAAAAATAAATCGTCATAAAAACGCCAACATTTCATTTACCAAACGGCTACCTGCGTGCTTCATTCCAAATATTAAATTTAAAACTAGGTATATCGTTTAAAAACGTCAAACCTATAATCTTAATCGACCAATGTATTATCTAAAATATAAAGTTATAATGGTAGAGCATCAAAGTTTTATGTTATAACATTGTATTGTTAGTAGGAACCTACATAAGAGATATATAATATTATGGAGGACTGAATATTTTTGATATTTTTAAATATTATAAATATATTAATTATATTTATTATTAATATCGTTGGTACTTATGCCATATTCTTATAGATATAATTGTTTATTATTGCTTATGTCCTAATAATTTTAGCGAATGTATTCTTATATCTTTGACGCATACCTTTTCATGTCATAATATAGCCGAAATAAAATTATTGGGTTGTATGGATTTATGTAACCCATAAATATTTTTATCTTACTAATGTTTTTATACCTATGATAAACGCAGTATTGCACTCTTTCTTTGTTTAAACAATTTAAAGATTTATACTGTTATCATAATATCAGTGGGGCAATATGATACCTTTGTCCCTCTACTAAAATGTTTCCCTACCTTGCCTTCCCAACCACATTCAAATGACACCACTTTTCTGCGGCATAAGTTCGATTACAGTTCATCACATATTTTATTCACAGCTATAATTTTCACTTCAAAAAGTATAAGTTAGAACGGAACAATAAATTGAGGGTGTTAGTTACAAAGTTTATTTGCTCGTTGTAATTTTAATTTTATCATTATTATCATTTTTTATGTTGGTAAGTTTAATAATAAGAGTTAAATTCGTTTAATTTTCAAACACATGAGTTATCCATAATCCAAACATAAGAACACAATGAATACTATAATATACTTACAATGTATTATATATACTATTTGTACTTAATAAGTTAACTATAGATAAGTATATAGTTATAACTAATATTGGACATTATAATAATTGTAAATTATTAATTAAACGATTGTTTTAAATATATTGTTGAACACATTATACAAACGAATAAAACATCCAATTATATAGTAATCGTAAGGTTTACTACTTTTCGCTACATTTACATTGAAGTATTAAACTGCCATTATTAATTATTGGCAATTTAATACTTTTTATGATTAACATTAAAAGTTTGTTTTTAAAAAGCAGTACACTTCATCCCAATAATCTCATAATTTTTCCAGTGCGTACCTTACTTATATCAATTTGTAACAATATTTTGGAGCAAAAACAATTTTGTTAACATTTCCTTTCAACTAACTAACCATTCAAGTTTCCGAGAGTCAACAAAACAAGCATTATTATTCTTGATTAACGGCATTTTGTTGTTAGTTTCTCATGCACTATATTTATTTTATATTTACTTAGACCTAGACCTAGGTTAAATAGTAATGATTTCCTAAACCTAAATTGTTTATCTAATTGCTATTGTAACATATATTATTTAGGTATGTGGCTAATGAGTAGGTATCTAATGCTTTTAGCCTATAGGTTAACACAGAAGTATAATTCTATAGTATATTACAAACATAATATCAAACATAGAATAAACATTGTTTTGCTTACTATTAATAATCTTGATATTTTTGATTTTAGAACTATAGATGATTCAGCCGATATTAAAGAATTATCAGAAAAATCGATTAATCCATACAATAATCTTACAGATATGTAAGTCAGACAATACTAACTCGTACTTAGTAGACCTTTAATATCTTAAAATAAATAAATACAATTTTGTTTTATAGAATATTAAACAACATGAAAAACCTAGAATATTTGGATTCGTCAACTTTCAAAAACTTAAATAAATTACAGTCGTTGTACGTTTTTCTATAACATTAACAAATTATATTTTAATATCATGTCTGATGTCTTAATTACATTTCTAGGTATATATTTCGAGCTAGTGCTTTGACCGAACTGCCTTACGATATATTTCATGGTCTATCAAAAACGTTTTTAGTACTGTGAGTTTATAGAACAGATAAACTCAAATAAATAACAATAGACAATATGTAGTAAAAGAAGTAAAAGATCTAATTACTAATTTTAATGTATTACCAATTAATACATTTTATATTATGTATCACTTTAATTAATGTATTAGAAAATTACTTATCGTACGCACTTTGTTTTTACCATTAAACCGAGCGATGAATTATTTATTATTTTAGTTGTACATTATATTATTAAACCTCTAATTTTATTAAAACTAGTGTACAGCTAATTTGTTTGGGCCTCTTTGCTCAAATTTTCTTTTTATTATATATATATATATATTTTTTTTTTTGAATTGCCCTTACTGTATTCAATTATAATATGATCAAATATTTTTGAATGATAACTTTAATTTGAAGTTTTGATATGATTAAATAATGTGATTTTATTTACAAAAGATTTATTTTTATTAAACGTATTATTAATTGTGTTGTGTATTAGAAACACTAATAATTATATTAAATTGGTTTTCTTTTACTACATTTTGAACATTATGTACTAAAACAAAATTATTTTATGGTTCTACTATTCTAAGAAAGGGAAATTTAATATTTATGATGTTTCCTTTATAGTCGTATAAGTAAAGCGAATTTAAAGGTCATTCCTGATCTTTCAGACCTCGGGACTCCAACTGCGATGCACATTATGTAATATAAAACTATTGACATTTTAAAAGTAAAATTATAACAGCCAACGGTATCTTTACATTAAATTTATTTTTAGCGAATTTGAAGGAAATCAGCTGGACAAGTTACCAACGAATGGAATCAAAACACGAGCAGAACAGTTGTGAGTACTATTATATAGTTATTAAGTTAAAATCATTTAATTAAATTGGATATTTTTTTTATTACAGTCAAAATCTATTATTGTAGTCTATAAAACATTTCATTAATTTTATTTTTTCATTAATAATATTATATTCATGCTCCGAGTATTACTGCAGTATGCGACTTCCTACGATTTTGCATATATTTTGTAAATTGTAATTTATATAAATTTAGTTTTAACCTTAACTCTGCAAAAAAATTTAAAATAAATATTTATAAATATTATGGTTGAAATAGTTTTATGAAATAACGCTATGGTCTAAAATTTAAACCATTTTTTTCTAGTCAATTTAAGTAAATAAATGTAGAGTCTATAAGGCTGTATATAAACTGTTTAAACTGCATTGTTTTCTCGATAATTGTTTTTCAAATAATATTTTGCATTTTAATCAAAATATAGTAAGCACGGAGATAGTATGATAAAAATAATTATGTAACACCTTTTATAATTTTCACGGTAAAAAAATAATAATAATGTAAGTATATTGTTACGCAATAAACAGTATTATTATTATTTCGTTGTGTGTATTTTACTTCATAATTTTTATAATATTTTATTGGGTGCTGTAGTATAAGTCTAGTTATGTTGACGAGGATTTACATGTCAAATATTTTGATTAGGTTACATTACATTGTTACTGGATCAAATTAAATGACAGACCACTTTAAGCAGTTTGTAGTCTCTTAAATGGCTTTAATATTGATGTGTTGTCTTGATGTTTATTATTGATTTACAAACATTTATTTTGTCCATTATTGGTATGTTGCCAATATTATACGATGCAATAATAAAATACGTACTGATATTTTAACGGAAATTTACCAAGTATAATTTTTAAGTGTCTAAAGAAAGTTGTGAGATAACATTTGCATTTGATTAAGTAGTGTAATATCGTGTATTATAAATCTAGATATAATGTCTTTGATTATCAACTTAAAAACCTTTTAATTAATAAAGCAATAATACATTATCAAACAAAATTACGAATGGTTAAATTTTATATTATAGTTAGTGTGATTATATGTCGTAAATTTAATTAATCTAAAACTATACGAAGCAATGCGGTTATTCTTATTCTATTACTATTGTAAGGGAAGTATCGTTTATTGATAAATGCAAGATCACAACATTATATTTTGTACATAATAATTATATTCAATATTCGATTATAAAATAAATGACATTTAAAATTTTTAACATTATTTTTATGCGGTATATTTATTCATTAATGTTACATGTGGACATGCTAGCTAGCCACGTAGACTCTCAGGCAACTTTTTATTGATTGGTCAAGTCATACGTAATGCTCAAAACTACAAAATATGTTATAAACATTTAGTTATTCAAATTAAATTAATTATAAAATAAAAATAATGGATTGAGAGATTACATTTTATGAGTGTTATCATCAAAATGTTTGATGAATCTTCGCAACAATGTACTTATAAGGGTTTTTTTAAAGATATTTTGGATTGCTATGGTAGGATATAATTTAATTAATAATTTCCAACAATTTAAATTAAATGTCAAGTTTTAAACCCCAAAATAAACACATTTTGTCAAAATAAATTAATTCATAATTACATCTACATAATAAGTAGATTTTGTTAAACATGGAAAATTTCAGCATAAATTGATTTGTTTATACCATCGGTTTTTTGTTAATTTTCATAAAACTACTAAACAATATCAAAAAAGTGTTATCTTAAGTACCTTTTGGGCTTAATATTTATAAAAAATAAGCTAGGTACTCAAGCAATGTATAATGTTTGGAGTACCTACTCATTCAATCCAAAAAAATAATAACAAACAGAACTATGATTATTGTAAACAGTAAATTCGTTATTGGTTTCTATTGTGTAATTTTGTAAATATTTTTATTTCAATTCTTTCCTCTGTTATTTTTCTTGAAAAAATATCAATAATAGAAAATAAAATTTCAATTAACATTGAACTTGTTGAATATATTGAACTTGTAAAATTGATGCTTTTAAATTGAAAAAAGCTAAAAAGTTTTCTTTATTTATGTTCTTGAAATTTAATTCATTTTTGACCTAATATTTCTTGTATACATATAGTACTTATGCTTATACCTAACATGATATTTCTAAAAATAATTTTCAAAATTTTATTTTTTAAACATTGGAATAATAAAATATTTACTTTTTTGTTTCAAAATATATTTTTAGATTATTGGAATATAATAAAATACACGTAGTAGAAAATTGGGCTTTCAACGGCTCTGAAATATCAAAACTGTAAGTAAATTCACATGTTGAGTGGATTTTTTTTTAAAAATTTTAAGCTGCTAATTTTTATATAGTTAATTTTATTATTTTAACTATCGTCATACTTTTTTAATTTTATTACAGGAGTTTGAGGGGAAATTATTTAGACTTTTTGTCCGAACACAGTTTTGATGGAATTTTAAACTTAAGGACACTGTAAGTTTTTTGATAACATAAATTACAAGTGCAAATAAATTAGCGAAATTATCGTCCTAACTTTTTTAAAAATAATAAACAATTTCTCAACATTATTTAACTCTAAGGCCTAAGATTTTCCAGAAAATGTTACTTTGTCTTTTCAATTTAGTAAAATACCATTTTTGTTAAATCTTCAAACAATAGATAAGCCATATATAACGTTTGAATATTTTTACAGCTATAAAAAATAAACCATTTTAAATTTAGTATGCTCAGAGTTTCATATGAAACTGATATTTGTTTTTATAGTTTACAAATAATCGATAATTAGCTATAAAAAAATACTTTTATCTGCACATGTAATTTTTTTTGTTCTTTTATCTATTGAAATTGAAACGCTCTTAATTTCTAATTAACAGACATTTTTTATAATCAGTATGATGTGTATTTTTAGAATTGATTATTATTTACACATTATACATTCATTTTTTATTACATAATTATTTAATTATTTAGTGCAATTATGACTTAAAGTCATTTGGGTTTAGAATTTATATTATAATTTATTGTATTCTACAGAGATTTATCACATTCCTCAATGAAAGTATTACCGACATCTGGGTTGAAAAGCCTAGAGGTACTTCGCATCGAAAATGCTCCTTCAATGACTGTGATTCCTTCAGTTTATTTATTTGGCGTATGTAATCACTAATCACCCACAACATTATTGTATACTTTAGAGCTCAATTCATAAGCGTGCGCAGGTCCGCTTGTCAGGGGAAGCAAGACTGTAGCTTGGGGATCATGGGATCCGAACCCCCTTGAATTTTTTTCGAGCTTCGGGTTTGGGATGAAAAAACGATCTTTGAAATTAAATCTCACACAAAATCATAGATGTGGACATGTGATTGTATTAATATTTTATAATATATATTGATCAATACGATAAGGATTTATATAAAAACATAACATCAGTTTCAAATGTGCCATTTTTAAAAATAATAAAACATAATAATAACAATATTTTGACTTTCAAATTGTATTATCATTCTTAAGGTTATGATATGTGTGTTTGACACTGTATGAGTATCTAGTAGGTAATTATTCAATTAAGTACGACAGTTGAAGCCTTCTTTTCATTAGACAAAGTATATAAATATAATAGTGCGATATTATTTTTGTATTTTGTTAACATAATGCATATTGAAAATATTTTTTAAAAATATTAAATACTTTGACGGATGATCTCGGGGGCGGAAAGTCTCGTAAGGAAGACAGCTGCTTCCCCTACCTCCCTCGTGCGCACGCTTAAGGGTACATTTATTATTGTTACATACTTATCTAATATAATAATATACTCATATTTTTGTGGTTTCAGAATTTAAAAGAAGCTCATCTCACGTATTCATTCCACTGTTGTAGTTTTCAGTTTCCAGCTAAACACGATTATTCGACGTATGAGTTTCATAAAGTAGGTGTTAGTTAATATTTCTCATACTGAATAATTTTTTTGATCAAACGTTTACAAAATAATTACCCACAAAATATTGTAGTCGATATGCTTTAGTAATATTTTCATTTTATCACTATCCTAGGGCTAAATCATGTTATTTATTTAAACAGAAAATCATTTACACGCAGGTATACCTGAAACATCGCTTTTTGTAAAATACGATAATATATTATTATAATATCATTTTATTGATAATAGACTAGTTCTCTAGTTATTTTAAAATAATATGTTTATTTAGAATTATTAATATATATTTATCAGTATTTATAGTATATAGTTAAATTATGATACCAAATTATATTTTGATAGATATATTATTAAAAGTACTCACCAATTTAAGCGAAACAATATTTTGAAACTCACTTCTTCAGATTTATTTTTTGATATCAACAAATCATTTTAATTTGTAGTTATTTGAAAATAAAATACTCACTTTAACAATATTCATTGAAGAAAAAGAACTTTAAAAAATTTAATAAAATATACATTTAAAAAATCAATTTAATTCGTACTTTTGATATTTAAAGTAGCCTGTAAGTTGGTAAGTTCGTTTATTTTATTTTCAAAAATGGTTTGAGGTTTCGTAACTGACTTGTTATTGTTTTAAGACAAAACTCCCCTAGTTTATTTTGATTTTATTCATTAATGTATTTCCCAATAAAATGTTCATTACATTTCGTTTTTCTTATTCGTACAATATTTTAGGAAGGCTTTGAAACTCCAAGTGAATGTGTTCAAGCGAAAAAAAATAACGTTCATTTAAATTTGGTGTCCAATGATTTTATGGAGAATGGTTATATTGATTACGCAAACGACAGTGAAGAAGAATTTTTTAACGAGCCGGCCATGACAAATAGTACCCAGGACATTATATGTGGCAATATCACTCCGCCGACCACGTAAGTAGCGCCATATAGCCTGTATAGTATCCTTTTGGTTTCTCTACCTATTGGGATAGTATAGAACAGTTTAACTCAAATGTATTTTTAATAACCATTTATCGAGTGACGTCAATATTAATATCACATTTACGTCCTAAGCATAAATGCATCATGAACACAACATTTAATTAATGTATTACTAGGATCTTAAAAACAAATAAGATTATTTTTATAATTAAAATAATTATAGTTGTATCAAATTAATTAACACATCGGCAGTGTTATAACACAGTATAGTATTCAAACTAAAACAATCATCAACAATTATTATTATAATTACGCTAATATTCTATAAAAGTTATAGTTTATGACCAGTGTAATTATTTATGCAATAGTTCTTCGATAAGAAATAAAGCTCGAAAAAAAAGAGGTTTATTATTTTATAGGTCACACGGACTTTGCGTTTCAATAAAATCGAGATAGAAGTTTCGACAGGATAGATACGCTTACTGGACGTTGTTGCCGATTACAATAATGGCACCTGTTGTTTTTATTGTCATGACATTATGTTATTTGCATCTTAAATTGAAGTTATGTACAAGTCTATTGTGGTTAGGTTAGGAAATAAACCCAAAATAAATCGTTCACGACAACCGACAAAATCACTTTGCGCACGATTTAAACCCAATTTAAACCGTATTTTAAACAGTGATATTTACGTACAGTACCTTTATATGCATAAAATATTGAATGTATATTTTTAAGAAAGTTTGAATCCGAGTTTCAAATTTGATGAACCTAAATAAAAGAAAAAAACACTCAAATCCTTCGATCTTGAATTAGTTTTTAATAACAAAAATAGAAATGACAAATCACTCATACGAGTGCCATGGACTGTAACATAATTTAAATGACTTATCGTTCATTATATGAACAAAATAATTGCAACACATAGGTGTCCTACCTATGAATTGTATTGAAAAAAAACCAACTTTGCTCACCGACCTCAAAACCGATTGGAATTACGTTTTGTTCTAGGAGATCGGACGTTCAATGTTGGCCGCAACCGGACGCCTTGAATCCGTGCGAAGATATAATGGGTTTTTTTTGGCTAAGAGTGAGCGTTTGGCTGGTAGGAAGTGCAGCGTTACTGGCAAACGTAGTCGTGTTGATGGTGGTTTTCCGTAAAGATTTTAATCACTCTGTACCTAGATTTCTGATGAGTAATTTGGCTTTCGCCGACTTTTGTACGGCTATCTATTTGTTGCTATTGGCCTACGAGGATTTGGTGTCCAGTGAAAAATATTTCAACTACGCTTACTCATGGCAAAACGGTAATTATTACGCATCAAATACTTTTTATTTTTCTTCTTTAACCATATTATATACATACCTATTATAAGTAGATAATGCAAAATATAACATTACTCCACTATGGAGATATTAATTTATCGGCTTATTACTTATTAGTGTCTATATTGTGGTAATAATTTTCCATAATATAATTTATACTAAATATAATATGGTAGAAGTAGCGTACAGCCTGAATTTATTATTAACGTCATATATTTAACATTTTAAACATCCAAACGGTACGGCGAGTGGATGTAGCCCTTTCGTTTATATTTCTAAAAAATAATCTCTTAGCATATTTTACAGATATTCCACTGTTATAGAAAAACCACAAAGAAAGATGTGTTTTAATATTAAATTTGCTAGTGATGTTTTTCAAAAACAGATTTTCACTAGTTTTCTTTATGTTTACCGTTTACGTTATTTTACAAAGTGCTTATAAACAGAAATTCTGATTTAAGATTTTTGACATTTTTTATTAAGAATAACACTTCGATCGGTCTTACATGCAAATTTAAAGTCATAATATTCCTCATAATACATATTAAATCTAAATATAATATAATCATAAAGTTCGTACCTACATATTTCATCGTTTAAAATTTTAAATAATAATAGCGTAATTCAAATATTTCATAGAATGATGGAAATTGTTATTTTGCGAAGTAAATCTATTATTAGGTGTATATTCTGATTATTTTTGTCGTTTTCCAACTAAAATAATTTTTGAACTGGACCAAATTATTTGTATTTTCCAAAGAACACACTTAAATGTTTTTATACATTTTAAATTATATATTATTTTATACATTTCAAGTTTTTACCTTAAACACTAGAACTACCGGTGTTAAATATATTTAAATAGGTAAACACTTTTGGACAATAAAAACTTTTTTTAATGAATATAGATACTTCATAAAATATGTCTATGTTCTAAATCTAATTATTACGATTTTATCTGCTTGCTATTCTTGATCGACTGAGTTATGTTAAGTTGTAGCGTTCAACGAGTATAGTAATATTATTGAAGAATGAAATAAAATAATATTGATATTGATCTATAATTCATGACAAAATAGTTACATTTTTAATAAATATTATTTTTTCCAATTTTCATCAGCTTTTACTACCAACATTTTAGTTTGTTGCCTATATTTTAAATAGTTTATGTAGATAATATCTAGTAATTATTTTTAAATCTAATTTTTTTTATCTGTATGGGTACATATCTAGATGTATATTTTTTTCATACTGAAAATCGCGCGCAACAATATAGTAAGCTTAGATGTAGGTGCTATAATTTTAATACTTAATCCAACCACTTAAAAAAGTTATATTACTATACCAACCCATTTACATGAAGATGCTTTTGGGTCAACTGTAATAAAATAAATCATTATAAACATGTGTTCACATTGATAACAACTGTAGGTATACGTATATGACTATAATATATGGATCATCTTTAATGTTATTGCGTATTTTTATAATTATGATAATTGCCAATTGGTCTTGATACTATGAATATCTACTAAAATTTGAATTTTTTCTAGTAATTTTAAACACTGTTATGTGAGATAATTAATTATAATTAGACTAAGAAAAATATATTGGGTTATTAATTAAAAAAAAAAAACAATTATAATAGCAATAATGATTAAATATATTTAATGGCGATACAGCTATTATTTCATATACATTGCAATATTTTAATGCACACATAGAGCAATATAGTTACCGTGTATTTTTCAAAATAATTAAATATCTATCATTTACCGGTACTAAATTTAAAAAAACACGTTGATGATACTTACCATTGTACGTAAATGGGATTATAAACCCATGATATTTTTCCACAGGTGTCGGGTGCAAAATTGGAGGTTTCTTGACAGTTTTCTCTTCTCAACTATCAGTTTTCGCATTATGCTTGTTAACGATTGAACGGTGGTACTCAATACGCAAGGCACTATACACAAACAAAATGACGTTCGCTTCAACAGTGAGAATAATGGCCTTTGGTTGGGTGTATTCAATTGTGATGGCAACTATGCCGCTACTGGGCATATCAAGTTATTCTACTACCAGGTAAACACCAGGAGCTCTATCGAAATGTATTAATTGTAAATAAATAAATAAGTAGACATAGTAAGTATAGTTAAGTAAATACGTTCACGATTTCAAAAAAAAATAAGATACGAATTTTAGAATATTAGGCGTGTACCTACTTATAGTATAATATAGTGTGATTCAACAAGCATGCTCAACCTTTTTTTCTTCAATAATTAAGTTATTTAAAATCTGATTTTCTAATTTTTAAGTACACATAAAGACCATAATATTTTCAAACATCGAGATTTTGTATACTATATAATGAATTTACATCGGAGATAAAAAACTTTTACCCCCCTCCTTCCTTTTCAACTGTAAATTAATCAATGGAAAATTGTTCTGAAAAATTTTACGTATCGTAATCAAAATTCGTTCGAGTTGTTGCTAAATTATTAAACATAGTATTTTAAGGATAAAAGTCAATGATAATGGATTTATAAGATTTGGTTAAAGATTTATTAAGATGGTGATTTGAAAATTGTAGTCATTAGTATTAATTAATACTGATAATTTGTATAGAAGGCCCAAGTTTAATAAATACTAGTTTTAATATTACGTCTATTTCATATTTTTGTAATACCATTTTTAATTACAAACATTTTAATAACTAATAAACTACTCATTCGAATATCAAATTAGGTATCTACAACAAAATTAAAAAAAAAAATGATGTACTAAATAATTTACAGTAAAAAATGGGGTTCTCAGTAGAAAAATAAAAGTTTGTACCGCTACTACTAGGACACTCCGTATGTAAAAATTGTCTTTGTTTATATTTAAAAATTTCAAGAATCAGAATTTGAATGTATTCATTATTAAAAGAAAAAATGGGAGTGACCATGCTTGGCGAATCACCCTGTGTATGCGCGTATTAATAGAAACAATAATGCCATAAGCGATCGTGTTACAAGACATCGTTTTAAAAATTATAACAGCATTTCCCATTTGCGTAAAATTATCTACTCTCCAAAATATATATTATAAGTAAATGCAAACAGTTTTAGTAACGCTATACTTCTATACATGCTAATAATATTATATTACAATGAATTCGTGAAAGTTATAGGGTATAAATACCTATCATATAACTGACAAAACGACCCAAAATACCAAAAATGAAATCGTTTGTACTTAAAATCGTCTGGTTTTCAATTTTCGTTAGGATTATATAATAATTTATTCGAAATTAATTTTAGTTGATCATTTTCAAAACGTGGTTTGAATATGAAAATTATAATTCGTTTCAATGAGTTTGAAGTAAAAAGCAATTCATGGGATCATAATATCATATACTTATATAGCTTAACATAATCTTAAAAGTTGGTTACATTTATGTTAGACCATATTATAATATATAAAATCTAATGTTTGTAATAGTTCCGTATGGTACCAAACATTTAGTATTTCCTTAATTATTTATAAGTACTTACAAGAGAGGCTGGAGAAATATAAACTTGGTGGAGGGGGGAGAGGTTGGATTCAAAAATCCCTGATAACGCAGAACATAATATTTTTTTGTTTTTAGAAGTAATAAAAGAAGTGTTATTTTACATTTATATACATGCGACCAAAGAATCTGTAACAGATTTTTAAAACATAGGCTAAATACCAGTGGCGTAGCGAAGAGTGGGAGACGGGAGTGAGTGCTTCTCCCCCATTGAAATTCCCTCCACCTAATAAATTGACTATGTACATTATTTATATACGAAAACTGTAAAAAACTTAATTAATTTATACACAACCCTTCCCCCCCATTTCATAAACCTGGCTATGCTACTGCTAAATAAAACTTTTTTTGAGAATAGATGAGTCCATACCGTAAACAATGTTTATATTATTATAATAGTAAGAAAAATGAAGAAAAAATACATATTATTCATCAATATTAAACGCTAAAGAGGAAACGAATTAAAGTTATTCATGAAATTCGTATGATATTATACAGCAGTACGTGGAGTTAATAAAAAAAACTTATATTGTGTTCGAAATCTTCTTATAAGTATTAATTTTTAATCAAACATCTGTAAGATCAGTCAAAACATTTATTTATTGTAAAATACTTAAATACACACTCGATTTATTGGTAGTTAAGTACACTAAAAACAAGGCTGGGCATTAACGCATTAATAAGTTAAGGTTAAGTTAATTTAAACTTTTAACATAATAAGTTAATTTTTTTTATGATTTTTAACCTAATCATGAACTTAGGAGCTTTTCAATTAACTTTTAATCAATTTGAGTTAATTTCATTTTTAAGAAAGTTGAGTTGATTTCAATTTTAATTATTATCTAATATGTTTTCAAATTCGTATAAAATATAAATACTTATCCATATTACGTATGAAATTACGAATATTATCAATGCCCGTTATTTTTTGGCATCGTCGCCGTTATTTGATTCTTATCATTTTTTTTATATATTCAATTATCTACCTATATTGTGTCTACAAGGGAGTTTTAGACTTTTAGCAACATAAAATATATTTTATTATATTTATACAATTTAATTTAAAGTAAAGTTTATAATGTTATTTTAATATTATAAAATTGAAAATAATGAACAATTAATACTTAGGAATATTTGCAGAAAAACAATAAATATAAATTCAAATGTGTATATGAATTTTTTTTATTTATTAAAAGTATACATTTTTTCTTAAACCATGTGAACTATTACTATTGTAGAAATACAAATTACTGGTGCACATTTTATAAGTTGTAAGTATGCTAAACAAATTTGTACTCATACCTTTTGAAACACATAAAATAATAATAGTTCTTTGGTCTAATAACATGAACAATTTTAGGTACCGATTATTTTTATTTTACCTATATGAAAACAAGAAACTTTTTTTTTAACTAACTTAACTTGAGTTAAAAAGTTAATATTAAATGTTGGTTAACTCTTAACTTAGTTCAATTAATAGACAATTTCGGATTAACTTTTAACCATTAACTTTATTTAGATTTTAATTTGACTTAACTGAATTAAAAAATATCATCAACTTGTCCAGGGTCCAGCCTTGCTAAAAAGCGTTGTATAATTAACTGTATAACAGTTACAGAAGTAATTCCTGACACCAAATCGATATTAGTACCTATATATAATATATTCAAATAAATGTTTAAAAATAAAATTGAAAATCACGATTTGAGTCGCGTATTCGATAAAAAAAAAAAAAGAAGAACATCACCCTTATGACCAAAGTGTGTTTACATGCCCTCATCAACGAGCATGTGCACTGCGCATACTTCACATACCTGTTAGTATTCTAACGATACGTGTCCCATATTATAATATTTGGACGGCAAATGGCAATATCATATTCTTAGAATTCGGTTGTATGCAAATATATAGATATAGTATTTTAGTTATAACAATATTAATGATAATTTCATGGAATTATACATGTATAAGTTAGTATAGATGCTATACAGAGTGTAGTTACGTGACAAATTAAATATTTTTTGTTCTAATCAATATATATACAATTTTTTTATGTATATTTAATTTATTGATTCTTATGCCACACGTATTAAATAACATTAAATTTAATATTAAAGTTAAATTAAATGTTTTTCCAGTATTAAAAAATAAAAATAAAAAATGTTGTGTAATACGTGTAGCGCAAGAGTCAATAAATGATATACATAATACAAATTTAAAGATATTGTTTAGAACAAAAGTTGTTTCATTTGTCAGGTTTTCCTGTTATACCCTGTATATGCTATGTTTAAGTATAGTGTACTACAGCTGCTCAGTATATCGACCATAATATTATATTATTGTCATACACACTTTAAGCCCAAATCCGTCGTCGATCACATGCGTAACAACAACAACAACAACAATAACAACGTAAACAACAATAACAAGTATGTCGTGCTATGTATAACAATATTATTGTATTATGTAGGTACTGCTAGGTTGTAGTACGAACGATGAAACAATAATACCTCATCGAGTACCCTTGTGTGCAAGCAAACTTAATATTTATATATATTATAAACACACAGCTAGGCACGAGCATGAGTGTAGAACACCACACAATATATAATATAATATATATATATATATTTATAGGTAGTCCGTGAATACTGAGTATTGGTGGAATTCGACGAGAGTGAATTTTTTGGGGGGGGGGGGGGTTGATTGAAGGGGTTGCCGGAGAGGAATTGTTTAGAGGGGGCTGGGATTGAGGGGGTTAGTTTTCCAGTGAAAACCGCGGCGGTCAGACGTCTGCGGTCAAACCGAGAATGTCTGTTGCGCTTGTATATAATCTATCGTGTATATACCTGTATTAAATAAATATATACACACAATAGTAAACTGTTATCGGTATTGATGTTGTTGTTATTGTTGTTGCAAGGATGTTAATTATCAAGTCACTATGTGTATGAGAGAGGGGACCCCATCAATTCCGCCAACATCCCGTCGATTCCATCATTCTTGAACGAATAATGAAATCAGTTTGGGCGAAAAAATAGTCACGCCCGACTACGTCAGTACAATATGTAGTTATAAAACAACCTATCGCGATTCCGTCACCTCCATATTTTTTACCGTGGTTATCCTGGTTACTTCTAAACTTTCTTATTCAATCAAAAAACAATTTTCAGTCAAAATATTTTTAGACGTGAGCTAATTGAATAATATAATATTGTTCGCTGCTAACTTTTGTGGTAGAATCGACGTGGGTACCTGTCGCTCTAGTACCTTACACGGCTTTTTTTTAAACACGTTTACAATTAATTGACATTTGACTGTCGTGCAATCAATTTTTCATCACCCTTTTCATGATTGTGTTCCTTACAATTTTTTAAAACAACACATGACTAGGAGAAGATTTTGAAAAAACCACTTGAACAGGGCTACTCTCGGGAAGAACAAGTCCAACGATGAATTTCGTCTTTCGGCAATAATTTTATGAAATCAAAATTTAAAGCCACTTTTTTGCTTTTTTTTATAAAAATCGATATTGTTTTTCACTCAACATAATACAGGTACTTCTTGATTTCACTCTCGTATCTGTGTGTACAGTGATCACGAGGTATTCGACACAGCTTGTCTGCCTGTGACGTATTCACCACAGAGCCTATAAAATATCTCTCGGTGTCCACTCCGTTGCACGACCAGCATTGACGAAAATACCTTACCATATTGAGCACCGTATTCAAGGTCGTCGCCGATCAAAATGCCTACGTATGACACACATTAAAATATCTTACCTCCCGGCTAATTCCTACATATTTTATGCTACAGAAAATTCACCAGACGGATTTTCCGCAGCTAAAATTAATCTGGGACAAAAGGGTGGTAAGGAGGCTCCAGCGCTCTCCGAAATTTCGGGGAAATTTAATAATTTGTTCTACAATGTTCTGTGAACATATTACGCTTAAGATTATATAATAACAAAACTATATAATTTGCATGGAGGTTACTGCAAAAGTCTGTAGCGTAATATATCCTGGGAATAATCAGGGATGACGTCTTATAAGGGATCATAGTAAAACCTCCTTTATACAGCAAATTTTCAGCACTGCAATCCTGACTACGCCATTGCGGCTGGGTCTCAATTTAATGTCATCTTATTAATTATTATATAGGGACTGAGTAATAATTGTAGACAGTCACGTGTTGAAATATCTAATGTGCGTTACATATATATTATACACGCACACTTCCAATTACTATATAGTGTTTAAACATGACATTTTAGTCATTTTCGATAAGGAGTAAGAATTAGGCAAATTATGTGGCAGGTACATCCAGTCATGTGAATGTGTGCGAGTGTAAATTAGCATTGGTGTGTGTGCGATATACACTGCAGTATATATTAACGTGTTGTTCGCAGGTGGGTACTGTCAGTATATTAAATCAGGAAAAAGTATTCGGTTACTTTTGAGTAGAAACATACCTCGGTCGTGACAAAATTGTTAAAAACACTTAGGCTGGTGCGATTTTCATATTGTAAAAATCCTAACATTTTTTTACATATCCACTAGAGAAGAGTCGAGGACTTTTTTTAAAATTTGAATTTCTTCAATACAATATATGAATATATGATTGAACAAAAATGTTATAACATCTGACATTTTATGATATTATTATATTATTATATTGTCCGACTGTTCTCTAGAGGAGACATAAAGAAATGTTATTATTTTAACGGTATTAAAATCGAACAATCCAAAGTCTCACAATCTTGTCGAGGCGGAGAGTTTAAAAACGATTTTGACTGACTAGAACCACCTTAAGGCGTATTCACAGCTACTTCGTGTGTCGTGTCGTGCGAGGGCGTAGTAACTATGGTTACAACTTGTAACCATATTGGTTTAAAAGTTGAGGTTTAGTCAATTCTCGGTATACTCAGTTGTAATTTGGTTATTACAATATGGTACCAAAAAAGAAATGTCTAATCTATGGATATATAAAACCACCATAATATGCGGCCGACTTATTCTTATCAATGAGTTTTTCCGGCATTTGTCGTGTGGGTAATTTTTACCGGAGCTGTGAGCCCTTAAGAAATGTTCACTTAAATGTCTGAAACTCTGACATGTGGGCTGTAATACGTGTTAACAGGTGTAAACAAACCCCACACAGCATATGGCGTCCAAATTCAGTGTAACAGGTACACATATAGGATGGTCGGCCATCCAGTAGTTTTATGTATCCATAATGCTCTCTGATCGACAACACGGCGTAGCTGCGAATCCGACTTTAGTTGTCGTTGTTATATTCTAATATCATAAAATATGTCGTCGTTTTGCCGAGCATAGCATCTGCCTGCCGATGGACACGGCACGCGCGAGCGGAATGTGCTACGTGTTCACGCTGTTGGCGTTCGGAGCGGCCGCGTTCGTGCTGATGCTGTTCTGTTACGTGCAGATCTACATGTCACTGAGCTACGAGACCCGACACGCTGCGAAAGGGGAGGCTTCGGTGGCCCGCAAGATATCCGTCTTGATCGGCACAAACTTCGCGTGCACCGCGCCCGTCATCTTCTTCGGCTTCACCGCTCTGCTCGGCTACCCGCTCATCGACGTCACCAAGTCAAAAATTTTGCTCGTCTTCTTCTACCCCATCAACTCGTGCGCCAACCCGTTCCTCTACACCATACTCACAGCCAGTTTCAGACGCGAAGCCTTCTCGACAGTCGCCAAGTGAGCACCACCTTGTGTATATAATTAACTAATTATTAAATATAAAATATATTGTATTGTAGTCGAATTGGGGGTAGTATACTTTGGGATACTTTTGGAACAATGTTTCCCAAAACTGGCCAAAAGTTTCTAATGCAGTGTTCTGAATACTTGTGATAGTATTTCAAAGTATTATACGTCTTTTATAGTATTAAAATTAAATTTTTTATTTTAATATATTTATTGATATGTAGTAAATCATAATTTAATACTATTATATAAAAAATTCATTATATTTTAACATTGGCCATAATTTAAAATTTTTTTAAAAACAAAATTCATTCTTTTATTTCTATAACAAAAACAAATATTTTGAATACCTATTTATTTTCAATGTTATTTTTATATGTATTCAAGTATTTCACCCAAATAATATTTATTAAAAGTAATTTACACAAATCTGCTCACCAGCAGTGACGTCAAATTCAATACAATCACTAAGGTTGTTTCACAAAAAATTAATAAATAACAATCAATTATTTTATTTCAAAGAATTTGGTGTCTGACAGTAGCTCGAATCATCAATTTCGGTTCATAACTCTGTTACAACTGCGATCCCCTAAAGCTTATTTATTCATACCAGTAATGCATTAAACGTAAGACACTTTTTTATTGCAACTTTCAAGGTCTATTAAAGTTTTTGAAAGAGATTTATGTACATAATTTAAAGTTGTTATTTAACAACATTTTTGCTACAAATTATACTTTATTATTTTTTATCGTTATCATTTTTAAAAATAATTTAAATGACACCATTTATTTTCAATTTCTTATTCTTAATATTTTCAAGAGTACTTCTATACACTTAAATCGAATTTCGGACGAGTAGCTTTTAAATTATAAGTATTGATGTGCAAGGTGGAGTAGTATATAGGAGTTCTCCGCAAAAAGTTTATCCACTACAAAAAAACTCAACCAACTTTGAATAATATTGTTCATTATAGTTAATAAGCTGCTTGTCCAAAATTTGATTTCTATAGATCGAAATACTCCGAACTTCTGCTTCGGAATAATATAATATTAATAATGTATGTTGTCATCCAAAAAAGTACAAAATCACTCAGGCAAATACAAAATATGCATGTAGGACCCTACAAAAGACAAGATTTGCAGTGTTCTTACGTTTTATTATTTTTATATTATAAACACAAAAAACGTATTTAAGATAAAAAAAAAATAGTAATAATTGTTTTAAAGTTGAATTTTAATGCTCTTATATGTAAACAAAAAAATACGATAAAAATATTAATTTAATGTTTTAGAACAATTCAAATTCAAATAACTAATAAACATTTACACATTATATGTGTATATCCAAGGTCTAGCAATTAATATTAAGCATAGGTAACAATACGACGGACGTTAGATGTAATTTGATAGCATGTATTCACGCCACGCAGACCATATAATTCAACACTCGACAGTCAATACCAAAATATACGAAAACGTTTAAGGAATTTAGGAAACGTAGTTAGGTTCTAATTTAAAAGCCGTATCCAAATGACGCCACTGCTTATTAGTTATTATTTTATTAGGTAGTTATAACTTATTGCTTTTACTACTTTTACTATAGTATATTGGACGATTTTATTTTTTTTCGTTATCGACCACTCAACCTATTTGTACCAACCTTTATACTCTCACTCTCTCGGGGCGTGTTTGAATTTCACGTGTAATAGAAATACTGTTTTGCCACTCGCCTCACCATCCTAAAATTAGTATTTTTACTTAGAATTCTTCTCTCTGACAATTCCTTATAATTTTTTGCTCTTGTGCTGCGAATGAGATTCTTGTATAGTTTGTCACATTTACCGAACTTTAACTATAAAAATATAATTTGATAGATACTTACTGAAAAAACTACAATACTTATACTAGTTATACTATGTTTTTGATTTTACAACTATAAGATGAATGGTAGTTAGTGAATTATCGTTATCGTTATCACTTTTCTACTGATATCACAAGTTACAGCTAAGGTTGAAAATCGAAAAGAGTTGCTTTTTATAACAAAGAATCAAAGTTTTGTGAATAAATAATACATTTCATGCCATAGAATAACTGGGAAACCATTTTTTCGCTTCTGAAATTGTGCAATATTGTACAACCACCAAATACTGACAACCCTGCCGGTCGCTCCGTTTAGGGATTTGTAAATATGAAGCCAAACAAACAGAATTAAAAAATTGAAATCAACAATGAACAGTGCACTTATACTTATAATATATAGGTAGGTATATTCGAAAATCCACTATTATTTCGTTCCGTTATTTGCCGTCTTTCGAGAACGGTCAAAGCGGACAAAACCCATTTTTTTTTATTAACTCACAACAGCGACGTCACCGTTTAATTGTGTACTTTCGTCGAACGCCGGAGCAGAAGGCGTATTTCTCCGTGCAGTGCTTTTTGTGTAAAAGTAGCGTGTTTACGTTTGTGATAATTTTTTTTCTTCCCTAAAAATAAAATGTGACATACGTATAGAACATATTGTACGCGATCAAATAATATACAATCGGAATTTTCCGTGGGCAGGTATTTGACTTTGTCATACTCTCTATCCGTTCACGAAAAATACTTCAAACTTATCCGTAGCTGGTAAACACAATATTCAGAGTGATTTTTGAAGCATACTTAGCCCCATTTTCCTCTTTAGTTGAACATTTGTTCAAATTCTGATTTTTAGAATTTTAAAGTATACCTAAAGACCATTTTCCAAATTTCTGATATTTTTGGTATTGCTTAAAGATTGTCTTGTGGTGATACAATCTTCCGATTAAACCCCCCTCCCCATACTCGTACAGAAAATTATTTATCAGATGAAGTTCTTGAAAATGTTGATGTAATATATGAATCAAAATTCTATTAAATAGTTTCTGAGTTATTAAAATGTTTATACTAAGCATAATAATCCTTAGAAAATTGTTTCATAAAAATAAAATTAAAAATATTATGAAATAGAGGATGTAGTATTTATTATACTTGTAACTTGTATCATTTTTACAAATTATTTATATTGATAGATCCATAGTAATTGCTGACTTTTTCAAATCGTCTAAGCCCTCGTATCTGCTTAACCCATTATCATACGGTAGACAATAGACATATTATATCTTTATAACTCAAAAACAATTCGCTTTAATTTTGATTTAGATGTATCAAAAATCACAAATAATATCTGCTGAATTATTAAGAGTCTTACATTTGTATTCCTATTTAAAAAACAGAAGATTGTATTGTCGAATCCCTTAGGTGTTAAAACAAAACCTCAATGATTCTAAAATAATATGGTGTCTTTAAGTGCATTAAAAATACCATAAACATAATTTGAATATACGCATAATTTAAGCATAAAAGTAATGAGAACATGATAAGATTACTCCACACTCGCATGTGCTGTTTTCATCTTAAAAACCCGCAACATAGAAAATTGTAAGGTTCTGGATAGTCAGTTTAACTCTATTATGATTAATTTTTTTAGCCAATTGACCTATTATCAAATTTAGAAATAAGAATATTATTTAGTGAACCTCGTTGAGCTTTTTTTATATTTTAATTTTAAAACATAAAGAATAAATTCGAGTATATTCGTTGGTGAACATATGTTATTCATATATATTACTTACGTGTGTATTTTTGGGTAACTTTTGTCCACCACAGTCCACTGCAGCCATGTCAATGCCACAAAGAGAAAACACAAAATAATTTTGTATTCGATATTAGATATATATATATACCTCGGGATCCCGTAAGTTGTATGATCGCCAGTAGTCTCGCCGCAATCACACACCTATCATTTGGACTCGAAAGCAAACTTGGTTCATCGCCCTCCCCGGGTGGTTAGTACGTAGGTAGGTAGTCAAATTTGTTGAAAGTAAATAAACTGAAAGGTCGGAGTTTGGACGGTTTACAATAATTTTGTCGTTGAAAAAAAAACAAATCAGCTTATGTGTAATATATATTCAAATTGATTTTTCGCTTTTCAAGTACGACTAGCACGAGTACCTATATTATATCATAACAGTAGAATTGCCAAAAATAACTTGGCGGTAGGAAAATGTAAAAAGTTATTGAACCACCGTCACCGCCGCCGTCTTTAGCCCCGCGACCTTGAAATGAGAAATGTAAAATCACTATACCACCTACGCGTTTCGTATGAAAAGGTCTTTTGATCCGAATATCGGTGGGGAGTATAATATATTCCTGTAGGAATTTTATACCGAGGACACATATCTATTACCGCTCAATCAAATTCCGACCACTGTTCGTCGACCAATTATTTACGCAAAATACAAACAAGTCGTTAGTGACTCTATTACGCGGAATAATTGTTTATTGAAGCAGTCAAACACTGGACAAAATAATTTAATTTTCTGAAAAGTCGAGTAGTTCGAAGGGAAGATTCTATGAACCGTGTATTTTTACATACACATGTTTATTATGTCGTCACCAAATTCGATTTTAGAGCTGCTATTTAAATCAATTCTGTCATGAAAGCCGTCGACGAGCTTATAGTTTAATTCATTAGAAAAACAATCTAACTTATTGTTAATAGAGGATTTCAGAGCACTGATTGTTTTCTTTGTTTTGCCCAAGCGCGTAACATAGACAAAATGCATTTAAGCAGAGTCATTTTTTAAAAAGTTTTTGAGTAATCGTAGAGTAAAATCATCCATAACGAAAATGAGAGAGGATAATATTTTTGAGGGTAGACATATCGATTTGTCTAAATATTATCTCAAAACAGTTTAAACAATTTTTTTTATTATTTTAAAAGTTGAATACAAAGTCAAATAATAATAAAACCGGTATTGTCAAACCCTTCACAAAAATTATCTTCTATAATTTTTGCAATAGGTCATTTTACTCAAAGACTCAAAAACCATAAAAATGATTTTAGGTGTAAGCATTTGGTCTATGTTGCATAACATCCTCTTAAGTACACACAAATTATATTATAGTCT